CCCTTTTCAGTTAATTCCCTCAGTGCACCATCAGTTTCCTGCCAGGACCCTCACTGTGCACTGCTCAGAGTAATAAGAAGCCTGTAGGTATCTATGAACACTGGGATAGAGCCAGCGACTGGCAAATGACGTCTCATGCCCTCCCTGAATAAATCTTGGCCAGGGACACATTAGGTCACGTGCAAGTGCTCTCCCCTGTGTTGGGAGAGGCCACCTGCCAGGGACGTGAGCATCTGAGGAGTCCTTGCTGGGTGTCCGGAGAATGCAAGGGCCTGTCCACTCTGGACCTGGGTCAGCTGCATTGAGGTAATGTCTCTCTCCGGGCCAAAGAGCAATCTTACTTCCCACTGGTTAAAAACAAAGCAGAGGGTTCCTGAGCTCAGTGTCCCTTGTCTGGACACAAACCTACTCAGTACTCAGCATCCACCTGGCCCATCTGTGTTGCGTGCATGGGATTCGGGGAACAAAAGGAACTGTTGGTGCTGCTTGCTGAGCTGAGTCTGACCCAGAAGTCTTGGGTCTTTGTCGACCTCCACGAAATAGGAACAGGTGGATCTATGAGCTTATGAGTAGCGTGAAATCTCAAACCCTGACGTCCTCATCCCTCCACTTGGCCTCACTGGCTTCTTCCCTTCTGAGGCAAGAGCTAAATCCTATCTATAGGGTTTTGTACCTTCTGTTCCCTTCTTGTGGACTGCTCAGTCCCAAGGGCTTCAGAGGACCAGTTCAGACTTTTCTCAAGCCTCAGACCACCTGCCATCTTCTCAAAGAGGCCTTCCTTACCATGTAATAAAGACTCACTGGCTACCTCACCCATTTCATTTTCTTCTTAACATCTTTCACACTCTCACATTATCTTTCTGTTATGGGTTTATTTAATGTCTGTCTTTCCCCCACTAAGATATAAGGTCCAGGAGAAATGGGGTCTTTTTTTGTCTTGTTCTCTATCTCCCCAGAACACAGCATAGTTCCTGTCCCCAGGGAAGTAGCACAAATGGATATTTGATGAGTAAATGAATAATTAAATGAATAAATGAATAAATGGAGTAAGTGAACTTCTACAATGTTATACTTTAACATTTAACTTAAGTTCTTTGCCTTTCAGGTGTCTCATCTGTGCAATGGTAGAAAATAATATGCTTGTGTCAGATATGTTATATTGTATTATATGTATAATTGTATATTTGTATATAATAACAAATTTCATCTTATATGCTACATATAACAAATGAGATAATATAACAATATTCTGAAATCTGTGAAGTACATTATCATTCCTATAAAATGCAAGGTTCAGTTTTAACAGAAATGAATATATGTGGGGTCAATGTCAACATTTCCTGTTATATCATTTAGAGAGATACACAGTAGTCACTAACAGTCACTAAATGCATGTTCAACTCAGAAAGGGGGTGCTGGAGAAATGAGGACGTGAAGAGAGGCATTTCTCAATGCATCTAGTTCTAAGTCATAACACAGCAGTGTCTTCCAACCAAAAAGCACTGCTAAGGGCCCATCCAGTTCTAAGTCACCGCAATTACAGAGACACCCTGCAGAGATGACAAGGCTCCAGTGACTTCCAGGGCTTTACCCTCACTAATGAGGTAGTTCCACCAGCCCTTCAGGAAAACCAGGCTCGCTGCCCGAGGCTCCGTCTGGGGTTTGGAATGTTCACAATCTCCTCTCCCCCGGCATGACTCGTTTATACTGTTTTCCAAAGCCTCTTGCCCTGTGGGTCATTTGCATCCCCATGCTATAAAACAAGTCCCTTCCAGTATCACAAGGTGGGACAGGGCAGAAGGCTTCCTGCTTTAGCCCCCAACAACTGGAGATTCACTGGGGATCTTCACAGGAGAAACGATGGTGACCTCCTTGGCTTCCTTGCAGTCCCCCCTCCCCTTTTCCCAATGCTCCACTTAGTCCCTTCTGTTCCCTGCCTGCATTTGCCTGGCCTCCCACCCACTTGGGGCGGTCCCATCCAGGGATGTGGCATCCCAAAGCTCTGAACATAGAGACCATTCAGTGGGGGAAAAGCCTCACGCACTGCTGAGGAGTAATTAGAAAAACCTCCAAATGTTGACACCAGTGACTTCATGAATACCAGGTTTTATGGCCGGATCGGAGAAATCACTGTGAAGATCTGAAGTGCTCAGCATCCACCTGGCCCATCTATGTCTAAGAGAACTTCCTTCATCCATTAGGTGACGAAGTTGTGGTATTCATTTAACGAACACTGCCAGAGCACACGCTACGTGCCAGGCAATGTCCAATATGAGAGACACTATTAAGCATCACTAAATTATTAAACATTATTTTGCTTAATCCTCACAAAACCCCTTGGAGGCAAGCACTATTATTCCCCCATTCTACAGATGAAAAAAGTGAGGCACAGAGAAGCCAAGTAACCTGCCCAACGTCACACAGATGACAAAGAGGCAGACCTGGGCTCTGACCCCTGGCAGCCCGGTTTTCAGGGGCCATCAATCAGCCACGGTGCCACATGGCCACTTTGATTATCACCAAATCTAGTATTGCGCTAACATTCATGATAGGGCTCCCTCGGTGCCTTAGCTTCTGGCATGTTCTAACATGTCTAATGTTCATAAAATAAATTATGTGGTCAGATTCCCTTTATCTTATATGCCTGCTTTCTGGATTAGTGTGGGAGATGGGAGAGGGACTCCACCATCATTTGGAATTCAGAGGTACTGAAAGCTACCCCTTTCCAGGGCCCAGTGAAGTCAGCCTGCTATTTATCGGAGAACTTCTTATGGGTGAAAGAAAATGTCCCCAGTGGACCCAGGCATGTGGATCCTGGGATCCAGATGTGCCTTCTGTTGCGACAGCTCAGACTACACGTGGGACCTCCAGAAGCCCCAGGCCACGCCCACCAGCTCTTCCTCGGCTCCCGCTGTCCCCATCCCTCTCACTAGCTTTCCCTGCACAGGCACAGCCCCGAGACTTCCCCGCCCTGGATACTGGGGAAGCTCTCCCGTGTCATCTAAGTACGACTCTGGGAGCAGTCCAAGGCCCAACAACACGCCTCGGTGTCCTTCCTGGTTAAACGGCCCATCTCTAGAACCTGAATACATCTAGGCCTTCCTTCTCCTGTCTTAATACCCAGATCAGCAAGGTTCAGTCCAAAAATATTCAATAGCAAAAAAGCATTAAATAACAGCATGAGGCGTGATGAATAGGAAATGCACAGAAGATTTTTTAGGGTCGTGAAAATACTCTGTATAACGCCGTCAGGGCGAACGCGTAACTCTGCACACCTGTCCAGATCCACAGAGTGGACGACACCGAGAGTGAACCCGAAGGTGAGCTCTGGCCTCGGAGCGATGGTGATGGGTCAGTGTGGCCTACTCAGTGGGAACGAAGGTACCATGCCGGAGCCGGGCGCTGATAGCGGCGGAGGCTGCCAGTGTGTCAGGCAGTGGGGATATGGGAACTCTGGGCTTTCCCCTTGATCTTGCTGCAAACCTAAAGCTTCTCTAAAAACTGAAACCTATTTAAAAAATACCACCCTGAGTTTCTATTTCAATCTCTTGAAGAAGAGGCAAGAAGAGAATCCCACCCTAAAACTACAACCACATGGCATCTCTTTTACGTCTATCCTAAGACCTCAGCCCGCTGTTGTTCTCCTGCCTTGCCTTCAGGTCCCTTTCTCATCCTCTGTCCATCTCTGTTCCTCTGTCTACTTACAGATCCACACACACGCACGCACACACAGACACACACAGAGCAACATGTGAGTCACGTTAGCTTTTCTCACCTGAGCCCACTTAGCTTCTCTCTTTACAGTTTCCCTCGTGCCCCTTATTCCCATCACTCAACAAAGTCCAGACAACCTGGACGGGGCCTATGTGAAACTTTCCTTCAAAGGTCTGGTGGGAGATGCTGTTAATGCGGTCAGGTAGCATTGTAAGTGCGAATTTAAATTTAAAATTGCACATATTACAAAAATGTGTGAGTTTTGAAACAACACAATTTCAATAACACTAAGAGCTTCGCTTTACACACAGATTTTGAAATAATGTGTGTCCCTCGCAAATTAGCATTTATAAAGATGACCTTAAAACTGAAAAAATGAATAAACCGTACACTGAATTTAGCCACTGCCACAGCCTTAGCCACAGGACCCTATGAACGGAAACACCCACCATCCTCTGGCCTGACTTGCAACCTTGAACTATGGCAGAGGAGAATTCCATGAGGGCAATGATGCAGCTTTTGATGAAAGGAGAAAGATTGCTGTTATACTTTAATAATTTTGTTCCTGCTACGTAACTTAGGTGTCATGGCTATGTAGATAACCACAACATACTAAATTACAGCTTTCGTATGGAATTCAGTATTTCATCTTCTCCTGAAGGTGTTAAGTATTTTTCAAAGATAATGTATCCATGTAGAAAACCGTGCCTTTTCAGCACATGTGGCCCTGAACTGAAGCATGACTTGCCGGTTCGCAATGCGTCCGCTGAGTGTACAGACTGTAGAGAAACATTTTCCATTGTTCGATAGCATGTCCTATTTAATTGCTCTAGTATTGAGTAACACTCCCTAAAGAATTTTCACTTCCAGCAAAGGTTTCTGACTTTCTTCTGGTGTCTAGACAATAATGATTGACTGAAATGTGTGGGGGGCAACATAAGAAAAGTCCTCAGAAATATTTAATATTTATAGTTATTGGAGTGAGAGGGAGGGAAGCAAAAACAAAGCAACACTGTGGGTTGCTGCTAAGTGTCCAGATCAAAACAATTTTGATATAAATATGATTTAATGATCAAACACCCCCATGTAACTGAGTTATATTTGACCAAGATGACAACGCCAGGGTCAGAGGTGGGAAGTCTATGAAGTCAAATGCTTTTCTATTAAAAGTTCAAAGTAAAGCACCAAGTAATCTTTAAGAAATACAAAGTTCCTGAAAATTCGATTCTTTTCCACACCAGACACCATGCTTTCCATGATCTATCCTCTGCCCCACAGACGTCGTCTGTTTCCTGCCGGCCGCAGGTCTCGCACCGCGACCATGCTGGATGTCCTGGAGTCGCCCAGGTCGCGCGTCAACGCCAGCATGCTAGCTCAGTTCATCGACCAGCCGGTCTGCTTCGTAGGAAGGCTGGAAAAGATTCATCCCACTGGAAAAATGTTTATTCTTTCAGATGGAGAAGGAAAAAATGGAACTATTGAGTTGATGGAGCCCCTTGATGAAGAAATCTCTGGAATTGTGGAAGTAGTTGGAAGAGTAACAGCCAAGGCAACCATTATGTGTGCATCATATGTCCAGTTTAAAGAAGATAACCATCCTTTTGATCTTGGACTTTACAATGAAGCTGTGAAAATTACTCATGAGTTCCCTCAGTTTCTTGCTTTGGGGGTGGTGCAATATGATTGATCTTGATAAACACACTGAAGACTGTTACAGGAAGCCCCTGATAGTTGAGGGGAAGATTTCTGTGATTTTTAATATTTAATTTGTTCTCCTTTTAATTTCATTTACCTAACCTTATTAGATATTGCAGTATCCCACTTTTGATGGAACCCGTCTGTATATTGCAAGTTAATTCCTCATAAAGAATCACTTCTCCAGTGTACGGTCAGACCAGATGTAAGAACAAAGCAGTTGCCTTGAGTTTAGTTTTGTGTTTTATTAATAAAAACTGAAACAGAAAAAAAAATGAGTAGTCATAAATAAGCTTATCAAAGGCGGTCTTCAGCAAGCCTTGGAAACTCGGGGTTCAGAAACCCTTGGAGCCCTATCTTTCAGTCCCCACGTGAATCTTATCAATCCGACTGTCTCATGTTTTAGCCGGCAGGCATGAGTGGGAGCCTCGGAGCCTGCTTAAACCCCTCTCGATACCACTCTACTCCATTTGAGGCAGTTTGGCTGGAATTAACTTGCACCGGCAGATATCAACTCAACCCTGTAGGACAAATGAGGACCTGATTCATTAATATTTCCACAATCTCACTTTTGAAACATCCTGACAGTATTGCCTAAATTTTGGTGACTTGAAAGGACATTTCCAAATTAAGGAATTTCTCAATTAATTGACAATATTAATTGAGTTCTGTTTAACCTGGAACATAGATATTTAACATCTGGCCCATTTTCTAAGCTTGGCAAGCAAGGTGGGAGGTGCAGAGTGAAGGGCTTCATGTCTTACTACTGCACCTTCGACAGAGTATAGACCTCCGGGCAGGGTGGAAAGAAGATGTGAAACACGGCAATGGATTATGCTGATTCCAGGATATATTCGGGAAATTGTGAATTCTTTTTTTTTTTTTTAAGATTTTATTTATTTATTTAACACAGAGAGAGATCACAAGTAGGCAGAGAGGCAGGCAGAGGGGGGCGGGGGGAAGCAGGCTCCCTGCTGAGCAGAGAGCCTGATGCGGGGCTCGATCCCAGGACCCTGAGATCATGACCTGAGCCGAAGGCAGAGGCTTAATGCACTGAGCCACCCAGGTGTCCCTGGAAATTGTGAATTCTTAACAAGAACAAACATCAACCCTGCATAATAGAGTGAATTGTCATTTGGTTCCTATATTTGCTTGCAAAAAATTCTTAATATAAAGTTCTTAAGCCACCATAAGAATACCATCCATCTGACCACAGATCATCACAGAATTAAAGAAGCAGCAGAGTAAAGAGGTCTTCTACATCGTTTTGTGTTCTCACACATGATTATACTCACTACTTTCCAGACAGACAAAAGTCATCTCAAAGCCTTTCTGCAAGAAGAAGCTACAACCCCACTTAGTTTTACTGGCCCAAGTAAAATCATGAAGGTAAACTTACCTTTGACATTTTTTTCATCTTCCCCTTCTGAGATCAGTTTTTCTCACTTGGAAATCAGAGAGAAGGGCATTTAAGGAAGGAGAGGGAGACCAGTTAGAGAGTAATGTCAGGGAGTCTGGTGCTAAGAAAAGCCCAGAGAAGGCAGGTCCTCCATGGACCACAAGGTGTATCATGGGGCATGGAGGCCTGTCAGGACTAGTTCTGGGGGGAAAAGTGAGAAGTCTACCTGCATCGTTATTTGTTGAGGCCCCAACATTCCTCATCTGCTTAGCACACACTTGGCTCCTGAGCTGGGGGTAAGACGGAAGAGGGATGAGTGGTGTTAGAGCTTTGGCCCCTCCGAAAAGGGAAGGTCTGAATGGTGGGGCTCGGTGAGCGCTCTCGCCACAGCCAGGAAACACCCAGACGTGTTCTCCAGGCTCTTTCACACGGGCCCAAACTCCCTGTACAATCTGCTGTGATCCCGCAACCCAGGGACACTGCTCAGTGAACAGAGGTGCACAATTCGCCTTCCTGGCCATCCATACTCCCAGCAGAGAGCTCTCCGTGCTTCCTCTGCTTTGCACTTGTGCATCTGCGAGTGCTCTCGTGTCCCCGGCTTTCGTGGAGACCTCGTCTGCTTTATCTACTTTTCACCCATTCCCAACTGCGCCCCGGAGTTTTTCTGTACCATTCCTTGCCACCCTGATACTAGTTTTAGTGACTCTGCGCCTTATTAACAAAAAATTCACCTCTTCATGCTTGGGCCCTTAGTACATTCCTTCCCTTTCAAAGGCAGCATATATTGGTTCCCCTAGTGAAAGATGATTTTTCTTAAACCCCCAGAGCTATTACCTATTCATGCATTATTCCCGTACCTACCACTTCAAAAATTTACCAAAGGCTGGAGTCTATTCTTCCTTGCATATCTGGGAAGGGGAGGATAGAGCCCTTCAGCTCTTCACTTCAATAGTCGCAGATAAACCCAAGCTACCACAAAGCCATTGTCTGCGGCTTCACTCACAGCTACATGCTGAACAGAAAAGGGATCAATGACCCCCACTTAAAACATTCAAAACGATACACTTGGAACCACAAGGAGCACCTGGCAGACAGCCAGAGAACATACAGGGCCGTGAGCCCTCATTCTGCCATGGAATCCAGCTTCTTTCAAGGTTGAAACGCTGGAGTTCTGAATATTCAGACCGAATGCAAACCCACAGGGGGCAAGGACCCAGCGAAGGAGCCAGCCTCCGCTCGATCCCCTGACTGCTGCCTGCGGGGCGTCCTGGATATGCGATCGTGACTGTGCTCCCTACTCTGATGGAGAATGGGAGGCACGTGCGTGAGCAGCCTGAGGTTTGACCAGACACAAACGTCAAGATCAGCACTTAATGACCATTCAGTCTAGTCGCACACGTCAAGGTCCGGACAGCAGAGAACATGGAAGTGATGGAGCTCTGTGGCCCATGACGCGACCCGGAACATCGCAGCGTGGGTGTCAGACAATGAGTGTGTTGTCCCTTTCTGTATTAGATACAGCATTTAGTGCCACACTTCTGTTACATTAAAGGAGGCTCCGCGTAAAAATGTCAGCAGCACCCGTTTGACTCATGGAATTGAGAACTGTGCATTAGCTACCGATTTAAATTAATTTTGCTTCTTGAACCATGAAAGATAGTTCTTTGAACAAGAATTCATGATAAATACACATGTGTAAGAGGCTTTTAATCATAATTATTTTAAATACATAAAACACGGTTTAAGGCTCTCAGCCTCATTAATTTCTTATGGTATAAAAGAACAAAAACAGTAAATGAGAGAAGTGTAAGTCATAATTTAAATGTATTACACATGGTCATTTAGCTCATTAAATGAAAAGATTCTTTGTAAACTCTGGGCTATGGAATAATTCTGCATTAGCCAAAGACAGGGAGCAACGTTACAATTTTCTTACTGAGCACCATTGTTTTATGTCATTTAGATCTTAAAAGAATACCACCTACAATTAAAACAGCAGAATCAGAATAATGTAATCATTTTATAATACCTTGGACTTCCTCTTTCAGAGCACTTAACTCTGCAGAGTCCCAAAGAGCAAGGGGTCACATTCTCAAGACAGGACACATAGTAAGGTCTTAGTAAATATCAATGAGGAAATGGCCTTAGGTCCCTTTGGGAAATGTACAGATAAACCACTGCCATATATATTTGCCATGATGTTGTGGACCCTTCCTTCCAGGGACTTGGCCTCCCCTCTCAGGTCTGAGAACTAGCCTGACACCGATAAGAGACTGTGACTTCTTGGGGGATGCTTGTCCTCAGCCTCCTAGCTCTCTTTTCACCATACAGATTGAAAGACTCCTTTCCTGAGATTATCTGGCTGTGTTCATTCAAGTCATCATTTCCATGGTTCTATTACTACCACCTTGCAACACACAAGGTGGGATGGCCAGTTGGAGACCTAGAGAAAAGTTGATGCTGAGGTTCAAGTCTGAAGGTGGCCTGCTGGCAGAATTCCCTCTTCTTCAAGGAAGGTCAGTCATTTTCCATTAAAGCCTTCAACTGATTGGATGAGGCCCACAGACATTATAGAGGACACTCTGTTTTATTCAAAGTCTACTGATTTAAATGTTACTTTCATGTTTAAAACATCTTCACAGAAACATCTAGAATAATGCTTGACAAAACATCTGGATACTGTGGCCTAGCCAAGCTGACACAAGAAATTAAACATCATGCTCATATGATAAGCAATTCTGGGGGATGGGGGGAACAGGATTCCAAAGCAGATCCAAAAGTCACGTGAGAGAGTCTAGAAAAGAGACTGGCTTGGGATCTTTCCCAAGTGGTGAGGGCCTGGGACCAGAGTAAGGGTCCCCATGGTCAGGGGTTTGTGTGGTTTGATCCTCCTTCCAGCACCAAAGGAGAGCACCCAGATTTCCTTAATATGGATGTCTAGATGCGGGGTACAAGGGCAGGAGAGAGGGGTGAAGCTTAAAATATGTCAGCAATTACACATCAGGAAATGGACTCAGAGTATGTTACAAAAGGGAATGTAGATTGTACTCAATTCAATTTTAATAAAGTGAGTAAGTAGGAGGCAGTGAACCAAGAGGAAGAAATATTAACCAAAGTAGGTTTAAATCCTACTGGATGAAAACTGCAAACACCTGCCACCTAAGGAGGAAGTCCACTTGAAGCTCCAACTAGACACAGTGGAGACTAACCCAGGGTATCGGGGCGCCTGGGTGGCTTAGTCAGTAAAATATCTGCCTTTGGCTCATGTCATGATCGCGGGGTCCTGGGATCAAGTCCCATGCAAGGCTCCCGCCTGCTTCTCTCTCTCCTCCCCACTTGTGCTCTCTCTTGGTATCTCTGTCCCTGTCTTTGTCTGTATCTCTCTCAAATAAGTAAAAAATAAAAATAAATAACCCAAGGTATCATAGCTGGGACCTAGGATGCAGCCAGCCGGTACATTTCTAGGTCTAGAGAGGAGCTAGGCCAGATGTCCCTAACACAATGATTCATGCTCTCTCCATATTGAGAGCATTTTGAAGGAGCATTTTGAACAACCGAAAAGCCAGTATGTTTCTAGGTGGGGAGGAATAAAAAATTGGGAATGAATAGAGATGTACAAAAATGGAGAAAAACTCCTCCAGTGGGATTACCCAGAAAATTTCCAGATAGTCTCTACTTTTGCAGGGAATGATTTTGTACTTGACATTACTTAAGGTAAAATATCAGTGCCCTCCATTCCAAGTGTCTAAGAGTACCTGAGAGCACTTTAGACCCCTTTAAGGCATTGCAAGACTAATTCTGCCTTCTGGGGAGCCAGGAGGGCAGTGAACTCAACAAGCCTATAAATTAAGTCATGAGTCTTCTTT